CTACCCTCCTTATCTTTCCTCCATTGAGGACAATGTCGTGCTTAAGTGTGGGGGGGTGTTCGATTATGTATGCGGGTGAATGTTTGGCTGTTTGTGTGCTTGGAGCCTAGTCCACTGTCCAAATTTTTAAATTTGAGGGCTCCAAGTACGTGTTTCCTTGCAAATTGCCTACTCAGTATGCTTTGAATTGACAGTCTCTATAGTAATGTGCAACCTAGGGAGGTAGTGTAGCACTATGGAGGATGTTGAAGTATAAGATTTTTCCTATCTAGCTCTCTGCTGTGTCAGTTGATTTTTTGAATTAGTGGAGCTAAGACCGTTGAATTCATGTGGTAATGGTGACTCTATTTGGATTGTGTTATGGACTCGTGTATCGAACAGGGTGCTCATATGGAAAATGGGAAGCAGTTGGTCCTCCATGTCAAAATCATTAAATCTTAAACATGGGGTAAGCCCAACGTGTGTGGCACCGTTCATTGCACAAAATCGGGTTTTGGAAGAGATTTTAGTGATCCTTAGTGGGGTACTCCTACAAGGTGAAGCTAAGCTGTCTCTAGTACAAGTAAAACCTCCACCCGTTGAGCGGTTTGCCTACTTGAGGATGTGTTTTTAAGGGCACGGATAGAGCTTCCGACCCCCCTTAATTTCATTGACCCTCCACACGAGTTGAGGAAAAGGAGTTAAAAGAAGTACTCTGGCGAGCGCCAGATGTACAGAAATTGCTCTTGCTTGGCTAATAAGGGTCGACCGTGCAAAAGACTGCAGTTGGAACCCCACCAAATGAAAGGAAAAAAAAAAGAGAAAAATGTAAATGAAAGTGAGAAAAAGGGGTTCCAACGGTGAAATGAAGTGAAAGAGCACCCGGTACAACGAGTCCTTGGTTGTGAATGGTGTGAGTCCCTTTATCCATGAACTGACTGTCTTACTTCTACTTTTTCTCATGATCCTGGCTTGAGTCTAGTACTCGCATTGAGAGAGATAGGGAAAGTCTTAGAAGACCAGTTGACCTCGTAAGCTGCTATATGATCTAGGAAATCCTCTACCGACGATCGGGGTTGTATGTTTCTATAGAGATCTGGAGAGCTGCATTGGTTTGAGTTAGGTTTGCTTGGGGACAAGCAAACAGTTAAGTGTGGGGGAATTTGATGACTCGGTATTTGCACATGTTTTCCCCTATGTTTCTTGATTGTTTGAGCTTGAATTATCGTGTCTTTGGCCTATTTTATGCTAGGTTGTGTTCCTTTGTCACATTTCAGGTCCTAGCACATAAAGTGAAGCATAGGCGCAAGTTTCAAGTCAATTAGAGATCAATTGACGATTCGGGAGAAGAAACTCGGGTATGACCTGAAGAAGAATGGATTTCTACCTCACTTTATGGACAAAGAATCATGCAAGCTTGTCATGAAAAGAAAGAGGACGAGACTACGAGCGTCTGGGATCAAACGGCGACTGAATCGGAGGTCAAACGAGCTCAAACGAGATCAACGAAGCTTAGGAGTGCATGCTGGAAATTGTGCACGGCCAAAACCTCAATTTGCACGGCCGTGCAAGTAGGGGGTGCGAGTTTCAGCGGGTATAAAAGTTGTTTTGCGATTTTTGGAGGGTGAGAGCTGGGTTTTGGATCCCAAACACCCAAGGGACGAACCCTAGAGAGAGAGAGCGACTTGGAGACATTCTTGGAGCTATTTTGGAGGATTTCTTCGCCATTGGAGCTCGGGAATCAAGCTTGGAGATGGAGATTGAAGATCTAGATCAGATTTCTGCAGTCTCTCTCTTCTCTATGGAGTAACTTCCCTTCACTTAGGTTTTGAGGAACCCTAGTTCCATGAGTTAGGATCTTTCTTGTATGAAGTTTTGGATGCTATACTGTTTGATTATAATCGATTGAGGCATGATTTATTGAGTCAATTGGATCTTGATCAAATTCTCTTGATTTCTGCTTTAACCTATGATAGATAGAATCTGATTAGGTTAAGAGAGCTTCCTTGATTGATAGTAGTGAATTGGTTGTGCGAGAGTCAATCAATTCACTGCTTTGTACTGGAATTCATTCCAGTAGTGGAGATCTGTGTGAATTGCCTTAGCAGTCTATCCCGGTGAAGGCTAGTCGCCTGCCGGGTATTCTGTCTGAGAGGGCTTGGTCAGCTTAAGAGATTCCAAGCTAATTTCGGATCTTCCGCAGTCTAATCAACAGTAGATCAACCAAAGGTAATTGCAACTTGGACCTAATTGAGGAGCTAGGGGGAATCATACCTAAGTGAGTTCCCAACTTGTAATTAGTAGAGTAGTCAGTAGAGTAGTTTATCAATCAATCCTTAATCTAGTTTGCTAGATAATGAACTGAAGCTGAGTAATAGTAACTCTAGAGACCCGTGGATTCGATATTTATTACTTGTGCCACTATAGTGCAGTCCCTTTCATTGGTTACACTTGGCCATTGTTAGGTGTTGTGTTTTAGCGAGTCAGTTGGGCATTGGCAAGCGCACTCTCTTCAGGAGCGCTAGCCACCTTTTGTGGCTTAATTCTTCGAGGACTCGAGCGCCCCTTTCCTCTGCTGGCCGGAGCAGTAGGCGCATCGGTTTTGCTCGAGGTCTTTGCTTGTATGGGGGCGGTTTTCCCCTTTCCTTTCTTGGAGGCGCCCTTCTTCCGACTCGAAGGCGCCTTGCCTGGGAAAACAGGCGCTTGATTGTCTAAACCCATGTTCTCCAGCTGGGTTTTCATCAGGGAGGCAACTGAGGTGTAGTCCACGCCTGAAAAGAAAATACACAACATAGTTAAAATAAAGTTAGCCATAAATGTATAACACAGGCGCATTAACCAGCGGCGTCGCAAACGCAATACTAGGCGCCTACCCACCGTCAGCATAATACTCATGCAGCACAGGGGTACGCGCGGCTGTAGAACTCAGGTTGACCGGATGAAGAGACAACAGGCGCGCATATTCCCTTTCATCGTTGCTTAGCTCCTCCTCTACATTGAAGCGGGAGGTACTACCAATTCTCCAACGTCGAGTAAACTGAGCACCACTCTCGTAGAAGGAGTCCGCGTGTGGTTTGATAAAAAAATAGGATCTGTACCATGAACGCCCCAATTTGGGGCAATCCTCTACAAAGTGCCCCGGAATGTCCAAGCGCCTCTGTATAGACACGCAATTGTTGCTACTAGTCATCGTGAAAAAGTGCCTAAAAAGCTTGAACATGGGCGGGATATTGTTCTGACGGCACTTTAACTTGAACAATATATGTATCAAGAAAACGGATGGCGATAGGCGCCCAATGGGACAGCCGCATGTCTCCAAGATCCCTTCCAAAATCGAATCCAAGGGGAACCGCAATCCGAACTTGAAGTACTCTCTGTAGATGCCAACCCAATTCGGACCCACCACGCCTATCCGGGTGAACTATGGGGCAGGCGCATAAGACCAACTTCGAGGCAGGTTGCATGAGGTTATCAGTCGATGCAACTCCGCTATCTTGACTGTGGCCACGTGATCCGGCCCGGCTCGACGCACGGGCAATTTATGGATATTTGCAGGCGCCCCCCCTGCGGCCAAGTGTCAGCCCAGTCGACTATCTTGAAAGACCCATCTTCAGGGGCGCCTGAGTTGGTGGATGTCGGAGAACTCAGCAACTCACCCGACCCTGACGAGGTAGGCGTGGAGCCTAAAATTGATCCAATCGCTCTTGGTCAATGATACGGGCCTAAGATCGCTAACAGGCGCCTAGAGAAGGTTGAATGCAAATACAAAGGGTTTGGAGCGCAGAGGGGTAAAAGGAAGGTACCTTGATCGGCGGTAGAGTTCGTTGGGGTAGATGCATCAGGAGCCTCCCCAGTCGCGGGCGCAGTCGAGGCGGTGGTGGCCGCTGAGGGCGCCTCCACATTGGCAGGCGCACTAGAAGAAGGGTTAGCCTTTGCTTGCTTGGGCGCCTCCTTGTTCGGTCGAGGCGCTCTCTGGTCCTGGTTTCGCAGCGGGTCAGGCGATAGATGCTGCTCCAGAACGTCAAGAACGCTAGGCGCGGTGCTTGCACCCTTGTCGGCGGAGGTAGGGGCCGCGCTGGAATCTGACTGCGACATGGCGTGATAAGAATGAAACGGGCGCACAGGCGTGAGAAAGGCGGGCGCGTGGGTGTGAAAGAGAGGGAGCAGCTAGAGAGAGGAAGTAGAGAGAGAAGTAGATTTGGGGCGAATGAGGTAGAATGGAGAGGAGAGTGAATATTTATAAGAGGAAGGGAGGAGGTGAAGAGTCACCTCGGAAATCGCGCGCGGAACAGTCCAATCCTCGCCCTCCGTTCAAAATTTGAATTTTGAAATTGAGGTCTTGAAATTCAAAATTTGAACGCACACCGAGTGGGGGGCAGGAGGTACGGTCATGCACCTTGTAGGATCAAGGTCGAGGCGTCATGCGCCTTGTAGGATCAAGGTCGAGGCAGGCGCGAGCCGCCTTGAGGGTCGATTAAATAAACATAAAGGAAGAAAGTCGTCCTAGCTAGGAGAGGGGGGCAAGGCAACCCTGAGCACCCCTTTTATCTAGTAGGCGCAGACCCATTTGAGGCAGGCGCGAGGCAACCTGGGGGTCGATTAAGTAAACGTAAAAGGAAGAAAGTCTTCTTAACTAGGAGAGGGAGGCAAGGTGACCCTGAGCGCCCCTTTTATCATTTAGAAGCGCATGGCGTTTTATCGTCACGCCTGCTGTGAAGCCCCATGTTGGCCAGGGTCATAGTTAGGCGCTCACCAGTGAACACCTAACTGGGGGGCAATTGTTGGGGTAATAAAGATAAGCCTATGAAAGTAAAGAGCCCGTTGGGCCGGAGGCCCACTTATGACCTATCTGGGGCAAAACCCATGATTAGGGTAATAGAAGCAAGCCCATGAAAGGCAGGTGCCTATTGGACATCAAGCCCATTTATGGCCCATGAGGGCATAACCTAGGTAGCTATGAAGGAAAAGGGGGCGCATGACGACAAAATAGGCTCGCAGACAAGGAAGTACAGATGGGCAAGGTCGGAAGGGCGCCACGAGGCCAGTGGTCCCCCTATGCGCCCCGACGTGGAAAACGGACAGTGTGCCACGTGTAGACGCGTAGGCGCCAGGGCAGACCAGGCATTTAATGCTAGGCTGACGTAAGGCTTGGTGGCAGGAGTTGGTCGGAGCTTGGTCGAGGAGCCCGAGTAGTATAAATAGCACTTGGTAGGTAGCATTTAAGGAGGTCGGTTTTCTCACACTAAAACTTCTTTCTTCACTTCTCTCTCTAGAGTTGCTTCTGACTTGATCGTCGGAGTGCTAACGGGCGGGTCTAGCCCTCTAGGCGCCCGTCCTGCAGGGTCCAAGCGCTAGGCGTGGAGCAATTGGAGGAGTCTCGTGGGTGGGAGAGTATCGTGGCATCAACTGGTTTATTACGTCTTCTTTCGATAATAAAACATACAATTTTGACAAATATAATCTGATAAAATTGTTCAATAATTTTTATAACAAAATCTCGATTTTAATCTTGTTCTATCATTTTCTCGACACCATTTGTTCGATCCTAAACACTCTCGTTAAATTTAACAGAAAATGACCATACTTGAAGGGTTTTTTTTTTTTTTTTTTGCTATGATGATGATCTTGGAGCCACATTTAATCGAATAATTTGTAGGGCAAACCCAGAATCACGAGCTGAAAAGAAGAAAAAAGGCGAAGACAAGAAACTTCTATAAAAGAAAATAAAAGGATGGATTGGAAACAAAACAACCAATCATAACCCGGAAAAAATCCCAAACTACACACGTTCTTAAAAAAAATTCCCAAAATACATACGTTATAAAAAAATTTCCCAAAGTACACATGTTTGGCATTCACCGTTTTTGACAAACGCAGTGAAGGTAATCACCGCGTTTGATAAAAACGGTGAACATTTCACCGTTTTAAATAAAAACGGTGATGCCTTCACCGCGTTTAACAAAAACGGTGAAGTCTTCACCGCGTTTAATTAAAACGGTGAAGGCTTCACCGTTTTAAACTGCAACGGTGAAGACTTCACCGTTTTTATTAAAAGCGGTGAAGGAGCTGACGTGGACAAACGCGGGGTATTCACCGCGTTAGACAAACACGGTGAATACCCCGTGTTTGTTTACGTCAGCGATCCGGGCCAATTTGCTTTCACCGTGGCCGTTGGATGCGGTGAGACGCGGATCGTGGTTTTCTTCCCACGATCCGACGCCTCACAACACGCCACGTCCCCTCGACATACACCGCGTTTGTTGACAGCGGTGAGTTCACCGCGTTAGTCAAACGCGGTGAAGGCGCTCCAATTGAATGCTGCGCAGGCACCTCCCCCCTTCCCCCAACTATAAATACCCCCTTCCCCTTTCACTTTCAACTCACCCCACAAACATTTCACTTCTTTCTCCCTCAATTTATCCGCTCTAGTCTCGTTCTAAGTATGCTCTGTGGTTGCGGCTAAGTCCGATCTTCCACATCAGAAAGAATTACTAGAGTTTGACCCTAAAGCCCCCGTCCCTTACAAACCTAAAATCGTCGAACCTCTGTCCGGCCTACGCCAAAAAATGGACGAAGAGGCTCTTCGTGTAGGTTTTTGGTTTATGAATTTTTTTAATCGAAACAATTTAATTTTTTGTTTTTTTTATCAAAACAATCTCTGATTTCATTACTTTTTTATAGATGGGTGCCGAGATATACGATCCTCGATTGTATATCCATTATGGCCCAAGGGATGCGAGTCTCTTAACCGATCAAGAAGCTCATCGCTCCCGTGCTATTTGGGATAACTATCCGGTAATTTTTTGAGTATTCTTGCTTTATTTTATTATATTCTAAGGTTTTATTTTGCTTTATTTAATCTAATAAATTGTTATTTTCCCTATTTGTTTTAGGAATCGCTTGTTCCCGTGGTTCATAAAGGGACCAATAACTTGCCCGCTTGGCATCCAAGGTTGGAGCCCTACATAGCGAGGACCGGTTTGGGAATGTTGCGCCATTTCTTGCGGATCGAGATCGACAACGATCTGCTTACGGCAATGGCGGAACGATGGCGTCCCGAAACCCATACATTCCACCTTCCGGAGGGGGAAATGACGATCACCCTCAAAGACGTGGCGATCCTCACCGGGCTTCCTATTTCTGGAGATGCAATCATTGGTTCCACGACCAAACCCGAAGGAGGTTGGGGGCCGCTCATACGTGATCGTTTGGGCTTCGACATGCCGACCACCACACCAATTCAAGGACGGGGGCATCCACCGTTGAATGCGGGGCAAGTGTCGGTCCCGTGGCTGGTATCTCACATCCAGCAAGAGGTGGAAATCAATGACGAGACACCGGAAGAACAAGTCGAGCGCTACGCCCGCATCTACCTCATCGGTTTGGTGGGTGGATTTTTGTTCCCCGACAAGTCCAACCGGTGGATTCAAGGCATATGGTTGCCATTGCTCACTGGTGACTGGGATGCAATTGGAGAGAAGAGTTGGGGATCGGCCGTGCTAGCGGGCGTATACCGGGAGCTGTGTACTTGCTCGAAGGTTGGGGCAAAGCAAGCTGGTGCTGCGATGTTCATCCTGCAACTGTGGGTATGGGAGCATCTCCCGATGTTCGCACCTCCCGACCCACGTCCATACCGGAGAAACGATGATGAACTCAACTTTCTGCAAAATCTCCCCTACGGTGTCAAGTAAGTTTATTTCGTACTTAGCCCAATTTAATTTTGATTGTGTACTTAGCTAGATTTAAATTGAATTTATTCCGTACTTAGCCCAATTTAATTTTGATTGCATGCTTAGCTAGATTTAAATTGAATTTATTTCGTACTTAGCCCAATTTAATTTTGATTGCATGCTTAGCTAGATTTAAATTGAATTTATTCCGTACTTAGCCCAATTTAATTTTGATTGCATGCTTAGCTAGATTTTAATTTTATTTATTACGTACTTAGACCAATTTAATTTATTATATGCTTAGCTATATTTCAACTAAATTGAATCCGTACTTTTACTTACAAGGTGGATAGGAGCAAATACGAATGACCATCAACCTGAGCATTCGTTATTGTTTTATCGTTCTGAGTTAGATAAACCATGGTGGAATCAGGTAATCATATTCCAACCTTATTTGAACAAGTTAAATTTTGTCAATGTAAATGGTCATTAATTCCGAATTTTTTAATGAATATAGGTTATATGGGATCCATATCCACGTGAAGTGGGTGAGCTGCATCATCTTAGGCACCCTCTGGATCACGAGACGTGGTTGTGCAAAGTGCCATTGATCTGCTGGCACATGGTGGAATGGCACCTACCCGATCGATCTTTGAGGCAATATCGAATGGAGCAACCAATTCCACAAGACCCGCCAGCCGGTTTCAGGGAGCTACATGCTATTGACCTCCGACACACTGCAAAGAACTGGGTGCTAAAGCATGGATTCTACATCAACATCTGGGAGAATCGGTCCCAATGGGTGGTGCAAGGGATGCCGGAGACGAGACCGATGGGCTACCACGATGGGTACATGCAGTGGTATCGGAAGTTCACCATGAGATGGGTGTCAAAGCAAGGTGCTGTGATGGGGTCGTTGGTAAGTCATCCTAATCTCCCTCATTCAAAATTCTATTTATTTTAAGGTTTAGTTAATTTGATAAGATAAGTGCTTTCCTTAGGTTGATGGTTTGGAACATGCCAAGTACACCCTCGAAAGTGCGCCAACCATGGATGAGCGGAAGACTAATTGGTTGACCCGACTTATGAACAACCTCCTGAGTTGTACCAGAGAGCAAAGGAGGGATGTCGTGGCCTATCCTCCCGTTCCTGCCCCGGCACGACCCTCATTCCGTGATGATGCACCCATTGTGCCCCCGGTTGAGCCCCCACGAAGGAGCAAACGCAGGCCTCTACCTACATTCGATGAGGTGCGTACAACTCGAGAAACCGAGATCCCTGAACCGTTCGAGTACCAGTGGGCACCTACAGCGGAAGCCGGTGGAGGGTCATCGAGTCGTGGAGCATCTCAGGAGTGGGACACTTTCTCTCAATTCCAACATCAGCAACAGAGTTCGATGTACCAGACCCCGCAACAACAAACTCCGCAACCTCCGATCATTCGCCAAGCTACCGCTCCATCTCAGCCACCACCACCACCATATGTAACCCCAGTTGGGGCTCGGGTCAAGAGAAATCCGCGAGGAGCCGTTGAGCGAGCCCGCCAAGAAGCAGCGGCGGAAGGGGGAAGAAGGGGTCGAGGACGTCGTGGAGGACGAGGAGGAAGAGGTGGAGATGGGGGCCAAAATGAAGCAAATGAGTGAATTTATCGTTTTATCATTGTAGTGAACTATCCATGTTGTTTTTGTGCTTTTTAGGTGTTGTTATTTGAGTTTGCATTGTCTAAAAACTATCGTTTGCACTTAAGTTGTCGAATTAATTTTCTGGATCATTTTAGCAAGAATCAGTATCGTTTGCCCAAAAAAGACGATGGAACATCAGCTTATCCTGTACTCGAACTTGATCCTCAGTGTATACATTGTTGTATACTGGGACGAAAACAGTCCCAGGATTGGACTCCTCCATTGCTCCCATAAGTCTAGGGAGTAAAGCATAAGAATCCTCCCAATCACCATACACCTCAGCCATGGCTTTCTGCTTACCATGCCATGCTTTTTTGTACCGTATCGTGTAAGAATGTCGATCCTTCACCTCTGCCATGATAGCTTTCACCTTGATATCTGGTTGTGCTTCTATAAGGTGCTTAATAGTTCTCCCAACTTTCTTTGCTTTTAGTTGCCTGTGATCTTGGGAAAGTATAGAAGAGGAGCATGTGTGGATCGTCTCAGCTTTGCGAATCACCCAAGCACCCTTTCTCTTCATATTTGCAGCCCGCAGTTGCCACGTACAACCCTCTGCATCATGCTTGCATATGACATGTAGTTGTTTACTGTCAGAATATTTTACCTTCCACTCGAAATTGCGCCTCAACGCCTCTTCTGTAAACGCATCCTGCACAGCGTCTTTCGATGGGAACGCCATACCCACCTCCAAATTGGCCGTCGGATTGTACACTGGCATAGGGACATAATCAGGGGGATCATTCTGACTATGTAAAAATTGAGTTGGAACCTGTGTGTAATATGGCGTGGGTGCCTCACGAAATGCCGCCTCATCCTCGTTATCATCAGTATCTTCCTCCTCCTCGCTCACTGATCTCAAATCTTCCTCAGTATCCTCGTCGCTCGACTCGAATGGATAGCTCGGGCTAGAAGGATCAACATGACCACGATCACCAACATCGTCCTCTCGCTCATGCGAAGTACGCCCTGATCGAATGTTATTCTCGATTTCAGACCACTCTGGCCCCCAAGCAGGCCATTCAACACCATCGGCTGGTTGAGGAGGTTGCGAGTATTTGTCCCATCCTGCACTACTCGATCCACCGTAGTTGATTGAACCACCACCCTCCCCGTAACCTCCTGTATAACCACCGCCTTGGTAGTTGCTCGAACTACCACCCCATTCGTACCCTCCTGCAAAACCATCATCATAAGAATACTGGTGAGAATGAGATTCACCGACCGCCTCGGTCTCAACATACACCTCTGCAAGCCGGACTTGGTTATCGCTTAGGAACTGTAACATCATCGTAACCGCGTCATCATCGTTTATGACAACTTCTTGGAACACGAGCCCGCCAGCACTCATGTCTGGATACCGGTAAGTAATTTTGCCAAGTCTCGTCTGTCCGCTCGTACAAACCCTTTCTGCACAAAGATCACAGAGTTCTTGAAAATTGAATCGGGAACCAATGTTCAGCATAATGGATTCGCCGTCCTCATAATCAATGCCTATGTCAGAGTTTGTCACCCTTCCATTCCACCGAATATTAAGATGAAACTTCTTGAATTTACCCATATCTACAAATCGAGGATAAGTATCTATTAGCTTAAAGACAGTAAAATTAACCAAAATCATATTGTACAACTAATATTATCCATCTCATAACTAACGAACATAAATTCAACTAACTAACAACAACATAATACGAAAATTAAATCATACTATAACTAACGAACATAAATTCAACTAACTAACAACAACATAATACGAAAATTTAATCATACTATAACTACTAAAAACATAATTAGACTATAATACGAAAAGAGACATACCAAAAAATGTCTGTTCTGTGTATTATGCTCGATTTATTTGCGGAAATTTGAAGAAGGGGGGAGTGGTAAGTTTTTGCTTCTGCTGGTGGGTTGGTATTTATAGGAAAATTTGCTACTATTCACCGTTTTTGTCAAACACGGTGAACACCATCACCGCGTTTGTCTCAAACGGTGAATACTAGGTAGGTGTGACCTAATTTTGACCTACCAGAGGCGGGAAACGTGGGAAACAATCACCGCTTTAGGCAACCACGGTGAATGTGTTCACCGTTTTGCACTAAAACGGTGATGTATTCACCGTTGTTGACAAACGCGGTGAATACTTCACCGTTTTTTATAAAAGCGGTGAATACTTCACCGTTTTAGTTTTAAACGGTGAAATATTCACCGTCTTTGTCAAACGCGGTGATTACCTTCACTGCGTTTGTCAAAAACGGTGAATGCCAAACATGTGTACTTTGGGAAAATTTTTTATAACTTATGTATTTTGGGAATTTTTTTTAAGAACGTGTGTACAGTGGGATTTTTTCCTCATAACCCAACAACACTAAGAACACTATACATTCCTCACAGGCAAAAGTCCCTGTTTTTCCCTTTCATTGCCAAATCTGGTCCAAATGTGTCGCGTAGTGACAAACCATCCCTCTTCGAACCCACATATAATAATGGAATGGCTGAAAAAGTATCGGAGAGTGCCATCGCCCATTGCTCATCTGCCATTTGCCATTACGGCACCCACTCACACTCACATCCCATCAAGGTCTCACTCAAATTCCCACTTTCTTTCCACTTCCACTTCTTTCTTTCCTTGGTGGCGATGGCTATTCATGAGGAAGAAAATGCGTGTAACCATTACGCTAATGTATAATGCACTGCTTCGGTGTATGCTGATGTTGTTGGATTGCGATCCAGTAAGTTTTTCGATTTAGAATCGAGCTTGAAGGTGTTATTGTAAATAACATTAGTATGTTGATTAGCTTGATGCTATTCATCAACAGAAGGAGAAATACAAAAGCTTTTTTTGGTTGGGAGAGGAGGGGAAAGTGATATACCATCCCATGAACTGTGGAGAAAGTTATTCGCTTTCCATGTAAAGTGGCAATTAATTATGGAGACGTTGAAAGCGAAAAGCTGTGGATTAGTACTCAACAGAGTTTCCTTTCAAGTGGGTGGATGGATGGAAGGGAACAGCTAGAGGTGGGGCGAAGTGGTGTCGACTCTGTTATTCGTACAGAAACAGAATTTCTAGTGCTCTGTTTTCGCCTCTTGAGTTTTACATGAAATGGCTTCTTATTTGAACTGTAAAATTTAGGTCCAAATTAGAAGGGATTATGAAAAAAAATATGCGTGTGATTACTGCTGTAGTTCACGGAGAAGACTAGCTAGGCCACCTCCGGCGAGCATGTCGATCATCGGAGCTCAATATCGACGGTGAATTCGAAACAGCCAGACAAATAGTGTACGTGGAGAATGTAGTAAATCTTCAATTTAAACCTGGACAAGTAAATCTCTAATCAAATAGACATCGGATTCAATTCATTCATGGAGGGGAGTTCATGGAAATGAATTAACATTAAGGAACCAAGTGTTTGACTATTAGGTAGGTGCCCATTGTGCGGAATTCTACATGCTGAATCTTTTATACGTGGACTTTAGGATACGTTGCTCAACGTTACCGAGTAGAAGATCTTCTTAATGACGAGAACAACCCAAAATAACTATCAAACTACTAAATTAAATGAAAAATAATCAAAGCAAACAAAACATAAATTGGATTCCAATCTTCTTATATTATTAACCATAAGCCCAGTACATTACGAAATGCTATGATTGCTTTATCTCGTAACATTGACTTTGTAAATACGATCGTCTGTGCAATGCTATAGAATATATTCGATAAGGTGATTGGGACAATCCAGCGTTTTGAAGCGAGCCCGTATAAAAAATAAAGAACATATGGTACATAATCTTCTTCCCCGTGCGTAGTTGTGGACATATTGGAACAAGTTCACATAAAAACCAGTTTAAACAGGCGAACTAGCGATCCACTCGTTTCCAAATAGAATTAGGATATAAAAAACCAAGGGACAATTATTGTTGTTGAAAAGATAGTGTCATGAGAAATCAAAATAACGTAATGTTAATTCATTAATGAAATGAGAAATCAAAATAACGTAATGTTAATTCATTAATGAAATGAGAAATCAATAAGAAGTCCAGATTAATAATGTCGTCAATTTAGGGATGGCAACAAAATTCGAATCCACGGGTATCCTACTCCACCCAACTCGGTCTCGACCCAACTCGGTCAACGCGAGTAAAACCTGTGTTGACGGGTTTTGGGCTGGGTTTGGGTTTAAATCCGTCCACTATTCATCGGGTTGGGTTTGGGTTTAGGTAAACCCGTCCCATGGGTACCCGCCCACACTCATATAATTAATTTTTCCGGTATATTTAATATTCTAAACAACTAATCTTCTTTATGTTTGTGGAGACATGTCTAATTTTTTCTTTCTAATTGTGTATAATGAAGTTGATATTATCGAGTGGAGAGTGAAGAAGCTTAATTGACAAGGAGGAAGAAGTAGGGGTGTTCAAATGGTTACCGTGGTAATAACCAAACCAATTAAGTCTAAATTTCATTAACCATGAAATAAAATGTCTTAACCAAACCATCCAAATTAACAAGAAAACCAAATTAACCAAACCAAATTTTAATTGGTTTGGTTAATCAGATAATCGGATTGACCAAATAA